AACGAATACATGAAGATCAATGATGAGGCCAGACAGTTGAAGGTTGAAAATTCTAAACTTTTTTCCCAATATGCTTGTGCGGAGACTTCTCTTGCCAAATATAAAGCCGAATGTCATGCAAAATCAGAGGAAGTGAAATCGCTTCAATCTGTGATTAATTCATTACCCCCGGGATACTTTGATAAGAATAATCAGCCAGATGGTCCCGAGAGGACCGATTCATATGTAAAAAGTGGTGGCGAAAAAAATAATGAGCCAGAGAGCTCTAGCGCTTCTTCAGAACAAATCATACCCGCTACTATTTCTAAAGAAAAAATTTCATTAGGTGGTGCGAGGAACTCTATTGATATAGACAAATTACTATCATCGGTGCTCACCTGCTCGATATTGCTTTTTCTATTAATCGTAATTATATGGTTAGTTATTGTGAAAAAGCTATGGAATTTGGAGAGCATCATGCCAAAAGAAAAAGTCAGATATCCTGCCCACAAAAAATATATAAATAGAGAAGAGGTACCAGATAGGCCGGGGATAACATCTAATTATCTACCGTATGAGTACTGACACTAGTGGAACTTCTTCGAATCTTTTTTCAATATAAGCTAATACCTTTTCTGATAAATCTTTAGGTGGATTTATTAAGACCTTTCCAGCGTTGGCCACCGTACAAGCTAGAAACCATCCAATATGAATGAACTCACCTCCCTTACTATTATGCCCACGGCGTAGCAAAAATCAATACTCATCCATTACAATATCTGTCATTTTCTCCTGATCTGCTATTATTTTACGAAATTCTTGTCTATCCTCTTCTGTAATTGGATTTTACTAGGTTCGAAGCCTATGTACTGAGAAAGTTGGTCGCGCAATTTAGCCATTATATTAATAAAGCTTGAGTCTAAATAAAACTGTTAATATTGTGCGAGAAAAAATATATAACGATCAGCTACATCTCCGGGCATATCCAAGTCCGGGCTGTGTGATCGGAGGACTAGGCCAGAAGAGGCCACCCCGTGTCCAGATCGAATATAGAAATTGAAGTTAGCCAGTATTATAAGTTTTCTAGCAGGGGTGTGGAAATTTCAGTTAAGAGTACTTATCTATATAATTTGATGATTTCATCTATATCCGCTTCGGACGAATCATCTTTTTTGTCATCCTGTAACTTAGATAATGTTCGATAGCGTGTGATTTCTAGACTAACCACTTTGTACTATGTGTTTCGGAAATTTGCTAGTAGCTTACACTCATTTTCTAGATCATATGATAATATATATTTTTCTAAGGTCATAGCTTTCGATTTACGCTTACTGGACTTAGTAACTAATTTATACATTTCTTCTTTGTAACGTTCATCGATTTTAGAAATTTCTTTGAGCAATAACGAAAACTTTAAGCGGGCGGATTCTTCTAGTTTATCTAGTGCATTAAGGAAGGAAGTGTAATAACCAACATTACCTGAGCATTTTACTACTTTACTAGCATAATTGGTATCAAATAAATTTTTCGCGTAAGTACGAGCTTCTTTCCATAAATAGGATACGATGGCTTCATCTTTTTTCGGTCCATTACGTAGGTCTTTGATATATCCCTTAATCCACTTTTCAGCTGATTTCTGCGCTAAGGCATCTTTCATATTTGATATCTCATCTTTATCCAAATCTTTGCCACTTTTC